CTTCCAAGCTTCTTTAGGGGTTTAGAGACTAGGGGTTTAGGGGGTTTAGGGTTTAGGGATTAGGGGTTCAGGGTTCAGGGTCTAGGGGATTTGGGGGATTAGGGGCTCGGGGCCTGAGAAGGACTTAGCACCCCCACGAAATTCCGAAGCCCCGAACTTCTGGGCCCCGAATCACCATTACTACTGCTACTACCACTACCACTTCCACTACCACTACCACTACTACTACTACTACTACTACTACTACTACTCCTACTACTGCTACTCATCATGTGCCCCCCAGAATCTCATCTGCCCACTGTTGGCAACTTCGCAAAGTCTCGAAGAACCTTCTCGACTTTAAAAGCTCGAAGCCAAGCTACCCCAGTCTACGCCACCACCGACACTGCCCTACCCGAAGAGAAGCAGCCGACTCCCTAAGAGAGGGCACCTGCCTGGGGTTTTGAGACCGACAACGCCAAAGTCTCGAACTCTTTGAACAACTCCATCTCCTGCACAGGACGGCCCGGATTCAGGGCCTCGGTAACCCTAAACTCATCCTAGAAGGTCCTGAACTCTAACAGCGCAGGGATTTGCTGTTGAGGGGTCAAGCTTTCCTCGTATCGAATCTCGAGCTTAAGGCCTCCCATGTAGCTTGCTGGTCCTATACCACGGCAGCAGACTTACGGCGCCTGAAGCCATCTGTCAGATTGACGTGTTTCTTGCTAGTCCCCCATGGACTTGAACACGCAATGAAATTTAATGAAATGCGCGAGGCTACCATGCTCCTGAAACAGACTCCAGCACGCCTCCTGGGTGTAGGGCATGTGCTCGAGCTTGATCTCCGATATCTCCGTCGTCGCGCTCGGGGGGATGGCAGCACATACGTTGCCACAGCCGTCCATGGTGCCCTACTGCACAGAGTCCCAGCCACCCTCCGCGGCCCAAGCCCGGCTAAGCAGCAAACCAGCCCTGACAGCACTTGCAGCCCTGATGACCACTAAGGAAAAGACGAGCATGCGAGACAGTAGTCCCGGGTCCAAATCACTGATTCCATGTGGAACTACGCTTGCTGGTGCCTCTTTGTTTGGCTACGACTCCTACGGCAAAGTCCTGTGCCACGTCGTGAACTGGGCCAAGATGCATAGGCTGCCAAAGCTTCTCCAAGCACGTGCGTAATGTAGGGGGCTTAAGCATTAGAATAGGGTTTTTAAGTATATTATACTATAGTTATAATGAGGAATGCCCAAAATAGTATGGGTAAATATTTAGGCTTCTATGTTACTGTCCAGGCGCACAGTGGCTAGCACCCGACTGCTTGACCCGATACGTGGAGACCGATCCCTCCCGGGTCTTCTCCCTAGGACCCAACCATCTATGAGGGATGACCTACAAGAAGCAGAAGACTTGCAACTGGCAGGCCATCTTCCACAGAGGCTTCGCTTGTGTCTTCTCAACCGGCTTGGCAGAAATTCATCATTTGCACAGATGCCCTTAACTGCCCCAAACCCCACCGGCCAGTTCAGCAACCATGGGCAAGGCAGGCGCCTGGACCGCGTTGAGGAGCCAAGATGGCAGATCCTGGGGCAACGGCCTCAGGATTTCGATCCGAAGACAAGGGGAGCAACATCATGTCGTAGGCCACGCGGCCACACACACACACCATAACTTTTAGCACCCCTGGCGAAGACAACTCCAGACCTCACCCCCACATTCAAAATTTCGACGTGCACCACCCGGAACATGCTCGTTGCTTACAGGTTTAGCTCTCGCATCACAGGCGAAAGTGGAAGAGCCAGGTCTCTGGACAGCCGCACTCAAGACTTTTAAAACACTAGAAGACGGGTGGCCCGAAAGCATCATTTGCGAAGAGTTTAGCGCCATGTAGAGTCATAAAGTTGAGCACATAAAGTCATAGAGTCAAGTGCACAACTTGAGTACATAGAAGCTAGTGCATAGAGTCATAGAGTCATGCAGTCTACGATCAGTCAGAGCAGTCACAAAGCAGTCAACCTAGAGTCAGGTACGTAAAGTCCTAGAGCGAAGCCTGGAGTCCTAGAGTGATAGAGTCAGGTACATAAAGTCCTAGAGTGAAGGATAGGGTCCTAGAGTGAAGCATACGGTGAGAGTCATAAAAAGTGAAAGAGTCATAGAGTCATAGAGTTTCAACATCACTCTATGTTTTATCGCCCAATGCACTTGACTCGATGTACTTGACTCTGTTGACTCTACGTGTATCTCCACGCTATGTGTATCGTCACTTCACTCTGCGTTTGTTGCCCAATGCACTCGATTCTATTTCCTCTACCTTACATGTACTTGATCGACTCTATTCTCTACCTTTCGATGTTTATCAATTTATCGCGAATCCATGTTTATGATCTAATTATGTACTTCTCTCGATGGCTTCATACAGACGTACTAGGTTGCGCGGGAACCCTAAAAGTAGCAACTTTACCTCGCGTTCCTGCCCTCGACCACGCCAATCCCCGCCAAGGGTCGCGCGCGGCGCCTAGAATCCTAGAAGTTGCACCTTTACCCCGCGATCCTGCACTCGACCACGCCAATCCCCGCAAAGGGTTGCGCGGGAACCCTGACGACCACGCCAATCCTCGCAAAGGGTCACGCGCGGCGCCCTGGAAGTTGCAACTTTACCTCGCGTTCCTGCACTCGACCACGCCAATCCCCGCAAAAGGTTACGCGGGAACCCTAGAAGTTGCAACTTTACCTCGCGTTCCTGCGTTCGACCACGCGAATCCATGGTAAGGGTTGCTTTTCGTTTCCGAGAACTTGCAACTTTACCTCGCGTTCCTGCATTCGACCACGCGAATCCATGGTAAGGGTTGCTTTTCGCTGCCCTCGACCACGCCAATCCCCGCAAAGGGTTGCGATGGGTTGCGCGTGGCGCGTAGAAATTGCAACTTTACCTCGCGTTCTTGTACTCGACCACGCATGCGCCAAATACCCTTGTGAAGGAACCCTTCCCAGGGTTCCTTCATAAGCCTGCGCAAATTCCTGCAGAGGGTTGCGCGGGAACCGCGTGGCGCCTCTGTGCCGCGGCGCCTGGGTCAAAACGTGCAACTGCGTTTCGTTTTTTGACCACGCGAATCCATCGTAAAGGTTGCTTCGTGTCTCCTAAATCGTGCGCTTTACCTCGCGTTCGTGCATTCGACCACGGGTTCCCGTGGGAAGGGTTGCGCCGGATGCGGACAAGTTCCAAAAAGGTAGCAACTTTACCTCGCGTTCGTGCATTTTCGCGGATTCGACCACGCCCCTCACTGGTAAGGGTTGCACTTGCCGCCGAGATGTTGCAACTTTACCTCGCGTTCGTGCACTCGACCACGCGAATCCACGGTAAGGGTTCATTCCCGATCAATGACGTCGGTCCCGCCCCGGCTTTAGAAAGATAGAAAAAGATACCGAAATGTGAGTATACCGAGATGTAGATGAGGCTATGTAGATAAGTCTATGTAGATAAGCCTATGTAGATAAGTCTATGTACTCTGCACTTAGAACTATGCACTTGGAACTATGCACTTGGAGCTATGCACTTGGAGCTAGATATACTTGGAGCTAGATAGACTTGGAGCTAGATATACTTGGAGCTAGATATACTTGAAGCTAGATATACCGAGATGTAAGTATACCAAGATGTAGATAAGTCTATGTAAATAAGTCTATGTTCTATGCACTTGGAGCTATGCACTATGTACTCTGCACTACGAGCTATGCACTTGAAGCTATGTACTTCACTCTATGTACTATGCACTTGACTCGATGCACTCTGCGTACTTCATCCTATGTACTTCTCTGAAGGGCTTCGCACGGAAGAACCCTTCGCGATGCTTTCGGGAAAAAAAGACTTAACATAGCACAAAACGACACAACATCGTCATCCACACAATCCGTACCAACTTGCTTGCGGCTTCATCTTGTTGGCTGCATTTTGACGGTTAGTCTCGATCTTGTCCGCTCCAATCTTCAGTAAGACTTACGTACAGACATGCTGAGGCACAAGATTCGGATTGTTCGCTCAACAAAATTTGTGTGGAGCCGCTGCGTACCAGTTTGAGATCTTGTTGGTGGGCTCGACATTTTTGCAGTCCTTGTCACGCGGCTGTCCCGTCGATGTCTCGAGGCCGTCCCGTCTCCGGCAAGAGACCGCTCGATGTTGCTCGTTGTGCCATCTGACATCCTCCCCGCATCATGAACAGAGTTTCGGTACCCTTGTGCTGGACGTGTTAAGGCTCTTCCTTTGTCTTGGGCTGCTTCCCTGGCTCCAGGCCTGTAGCCAGTTCGTGCAGTTCGCTTATTTTGTGATTTTTGGGCTTGTGCATCTTGGATCTGATGAGGCCGGCCATGTTGCCGAGGGAGATGTTGCACTGAAGCTGCCCCTTGGTGAATGTCAGATCCGACAGAACAGACACAAGCAGATACCAGCAGTGTATAGGGATAGTTGAGCTTCATGGAGTTAGGTTGGGCTCGTTTCGTGGGGGAGCCGGAAGCATCTTAATCTTGGGTGAAGCTGACATTCCTTGATGCCGCTAGCCGCCAACTGGTAGTGTTTTACCGTGTATGGTTTCTAATCCTACCGCGATGAAATTTTAGGTGTCATCTCCGACCCGTATGCAGATTTCAGCATGTTTGCTGGCGACGATGCCATAATGAAGAGAGTCTACGCACAAAGCCGCAACTTGGCGCCCTCTCAACAAACCTAAGCTTGTGAATCTACCCAAAAGAGGTTTGAATACAGTCTGGAGTCCTCTGCTGCAGAAGGTCCGAAGAGACAGAGGCCCTGCAGACGCATGCGGTGTCTTCCGTCGTCGATCTGTTGAAGGCAGAGATCAGCTTTGCAAAGCCTCTACATCAGTGAACCCATCTCTTTAAGTCTTGCCTTCAGCCATAATATGTGGAAGGTTGAGATGTCGGGTTTCACGACTGTTAGGATGTTTTGTTTGGATGGCCTTGGATGGGTGGAGATACCTCCGCGGATGCGATCTGCGGTTGTGCTCTGCGAGGCGATGTCAAAGACCATCGCGGAAGAGAACGGGGAGGACCAGAAAAGCTACGAGAAGCTTCAGTGTTGCTGGGATTGACATCAAGCTCCCAGCTCATCCTGCTGCTACCACCGTTGCTACATGTGCTTGATGCTGATGCTGTGACTGCTGCGTGTGCCGCTTGCCAAACCTGAACCCAGAGCGGTGGTGTTGCACGAAGCCATCTGAGGAAGTCATCTTTGCCTTAGATGCTTTTGACCGCCTAGATGACGAGTTCCCCTAGGGTAAACCAAACCAAGGCTGGTGCTCTGCGGAGAAGCGGGAGCCCTGGCAATGCCACAGTTTGTGCCTCCGGTATACAAAGCAGCCACAGGCTGACAACTTCTCTTTTACATGTGACCTGCATGGACTTTGGCCGGTTTTGTCTGGGCTGGGCTCATCAGCTGCAGCTTGCACGGATGGCTTGGTGCGGCTTGAGAAGAAGTTCTCCTCTAGGGGTCGTGTTTTATCCCTTGGCTCGAGGAAGGAGAAGACGCAGACCATCGACGAGGGAGCGGCCCGGGCCTCGCAAACGAGTCGAAGGGGGTGGCCGCCTTGAATCGCCTTGAAGCCACGGCGCTAGAGCGGCTAGGCGAAGCTGGCGGAGATTGAGCTGGATCCTTAAGACTCTTGCAGAGGACCAGGGAACCCAGGGCCCTTAAAGGCCGCCCTTTAATGCCTGGTTTTTAGGTCGTCTCTGGACAGCCTGGCGGCCTCCAGGGCTTCTCAGGAGATCCGGATCAAGGCCCTGGCTGGAAGGATTTTTTTCTTCTTGCGAGCCGAAACAAAAAGATCTCAGGAGCTGCAGCAGCAGGTTGCCGAAGGGCAAGAGGCCCTGGAGAAGGCGAGCTGGCAGATAGGCACAGAATCTTGTCACCATTGAGAGCCGCTAGAGAAGCTGTTCTACGGCATCTCCGATTGTCCGCTTGCCAGATGCCGCCGGCCGTTTGACATGCAAGCACGGGTTGTGTTCCTTTTCGGGCAAGAGGTGTGTCTGCTGCTTCTGCTGTGGCAGGCCTCTGCGGTCCGCCAGGATCAGAAAGCGAAGTTCGACAGCAGAAGCCTCTTTCGCTGTCTCGCTGTCTCGCCCGAATGGCACTGGAGTTGCATAAACAAGTTTGAAACGATTGATCATGTGCACATCATTGAGAGCCTTCAGGCTACGAAGCTGACACCACCACTTATTTGGTTAGCTTGAAGGCACGTGGCACACAGCGTCCTGCTAGCCATGGCCGACAAGAATCTCTCCTCCAAGTGCCCTTCCTCTATCGCGAATGCGTACGGCACCAGGCAGCGATCGGAGTGCTCACAAAAAAGGTGGGGCAGACGGCCTTGCCTCCGGCCCAGACCGGACCGGCAACGTACAGCAGAGCGGTGCCTGGTGGCTTGGCGAGCACCGTAGAATGACGGCTCAGGCCACAAGTGTCTGCTTTCATGCAGATCTTCTCGCACCCGTCGCCGCTGCCTCGACGGGCTTGGGACGACTTGGGACTTGCCATTCTCATGAGCTGAGTCGTCTCCTTAACGAGAAGCGGCATGCCAGACTGCATACATCATTAAAGGTCTTCGCTGACAATCCATGGTGCTCATGCTTAGACAGACTTAGACTTACATGAGGGCGGCCACGGCAATGCCATCATTGGGAGAGGAGTCAGAGGCGCGTCGGGCGAGCCTGGAGCCTGGAAGAGCCTGGAAGTGGAAGGCCGACTCTCTGCCGGCGGACTGGGACGACTTCAGGCCGCAAACCTTCGTTGTGTATCGCTGAAATCGTGCGATGCAGCTTCCGTCACAGGAAAGCGGAGGGTCCAGAGACGGAGAGGAATCTCCGAGGCACGCTTGATTTCTAATTCGGTTTGCACATGCTTGCTCTCTGCTGATATTCTGTACTGGCTTGAGGTTTTGCGGAGGTGCTTCCTGTGGCGTGATAGGAGCCTTGCGAGGAAGTGCCGAGGGGCTCGACGCCGCGCAGGGTTGGTCCGCGGAGGAAGAGGCACGAGATTCTGCAAGGACGGTTTGAGTCCCAGTGAAAGGGACCTGCAGTGATTGAAGTCATCGAGGAGCTAGCTATCTTCAGAGTTCCTTTTGTATGCTTGTACTTACCCTGCGAGGTCTCGATCACAAAGAGAACTGACCAAAACCCCAACACCATCTCTTGGCCTTCGAAGGAGCGATCGCGAAACCGAAACGTCGAATCGTTAAACACCTCCTCTGTGCACTGCAAGGGCCTTGCAAGGCTAGTCCGAGCCCAAGCCTTTGCATACTCCCACGTGAGAACACGTGCAGGCGGCGGTGAATCGGGGCCTCGGCGTTGCCATGTCCTTCGCGCAGTCCGCGCAGGGGCGGAGCGTCGTTTCCCGGCGCCAACAGCACTGAGTCGCAAATTGCCATGGAAGACTGGGACACGCTTCGAGACTTTGAAGCCTCCGCTTCGACTCTTGTGCCAAAGTAGGCGTTGCCTGAGGAGCTCTACAGTCCTGGCTCGACTGGCGAGCTCATTGGCATGTTCCAACAGATGCTGTCAACCATGGAGGCCTCAAGGGGAAACCACCCGAGAGTTTGAATTAGGAGTGTGAGTTGTAGCCTTGTGGCCCTCATGTAGGGGGTACAGGCTCTGGCCGAGAGGTTCAGGGCAGGGGGGGGGGATGCGGTGACCCGGAGGGCTTTCCCTTGGTCCTCGCAGCGGGGTGGAAGTTCCGACGAAGCCCTGGTGTGTAATCGACTGAGGAGGCAAAGGCACTTTTTGCACTTTCATATTTCTCCAGTTTCTTCTGGTCCGGAAGCCTCGGCTACAGTTTCTGTTGAACCCAAAATGGTCTTACCGGCTATCTCCAAGGAGTGAGCAGTGGCACCTACTAGTAACGCCTCTTGAACCTTTCGGGACAAATCTAGACGGGTCGCAGTGATCCCACATGGCAAGCAAGCGATCTTAGCAAGTTGTTTGCCAGGAGGATCTGAAAGATGCACGAAACAAGGACAGCTCCTTCTGCCCATCCGGCTTTCCCTTTTGGAAACTTTCGGGAGCCCGAGGAGAACCGGGCGGCTGTGGACGCCGAGGAATTGCGACAGGCCCGGCTCCAGGCCCGGCTCAGAACCCAAAGCCGATCGAAAGAGTCGAGCATTGAGCTACCACATTCACAGAGGCTTTCTGTGCTCCATTCCTGCAGCCTACCCGCTTGCGGCTAGTGTGCTCCGTGTTGAGCACCTTCACAGTGGTTGCATGCTGCGTTACGCGGAAGGGATGCGAATCACGAGCAGGTTGTAGGCATGCTTCCATGTCATAGTCTTCCGGTGTACTGGGATTTGGGGCCCAGGGATTTTTGCATGTACTTGTGTGCAACGTAGCTCTCTGCCGTGTCAGGAGATCCACCAGGCGACCAGTATGGTGGACCTGAAGAAGCGGGAGAGGGCACACGCCAGCGAGGACGGGCTAGAAAGTCTGACGAGCTTCTTTGGGGTTCAGGGACGGAAACTGGATGAAACTGGAAGCGCATCAAGTTCGAGAAGTACGTGGGTCCACATCATTATGATTATTGTAGTTGTTGGTGGCATGCTGTTGTCTGGAAGGGAAGCGCCGTCAGGAAAACACTAAACAACTTCTGGACTTGTCGGCAAAATGCAGCTTCGTGCCGAGAAGTTGTCAAGACAGCTTCATGCGAAAATCAGCACGAAGCCCTCCAAAGCAGCAGTCGGCAGTCTATTGAGTAGGACAGCCAGCACAGGTCGACATAGTCGGGGCCCGTCTCAGGATAATTGATGTTAGCTTGCAAGCAGCAAGAGCCGGACTTGCCGCCCAAAGCATGTCCCCCCTGTCACTTCTCCCAGCTTCCACACAGTACTCTGGGCTCTTGACTTGATGGCTTGAGCTCGCCAGGCGATCGCCCTGGCCAAGGCGGACAAGAAGCAGCTCGGCAAGGCAGGAGGGCTGGGGACGAAGGTATCCAGTACACGCAAAGCCCGTGCACAGGCCTCCCGTTCTCAAGCTTCGATTAAGGTCTCTGAGTCGTTTGTGAACAGACAGGTAATGTGGGGATTGACCAGCTCATCTTCTGGCCGCACGTTATCCAAACGTGAACGGTTCCAGGTGGTGGACACAAGCCGGGAGTCTCTGGCCACGATCAAGAAGCGCTGTGAGGACTGCAGCTGGGACTCCCAACAGCAACAGACGTCGTCCTACCCGAGAGGACTCCGAGCGCGGGCATCGCCAGCGCATGGAGGCAAGGAGCCGGGAGGATGCAGCCATCCTCGAGACTATCCAGGCAGGGGCTTGAGATCCGAGACTCCGAGAGAGCACTCCTCAAAGCAGTTTTGACCAGGTCTTGACTGACGGTTCGACAGTGAGCTTCCTGCAGTCACCCGGCAATGCAGAGTTATGCAGTTGTGCACCATGCGGAAGCTACACGTCGTCGTGCACCATGGGGAAGCTACACGTCGTCCCGTCTTCGCCTCCGAGCGAATCTCTGAGGTTGACTGCGACATCGAAGACCTCAGGTTCCGGGGCCGCGGAAGTCCTGGCCATGACCCAGAGCGACTCTTTTGGCAAAGTCCGAGATGCAATCGATGGGATGGTCCGTGAGCTGAAACAGCAACAGCGCCTGGACGTCAAGAAGAAGGACTGGTGCAAGCAGGAGCTCGTCCCGGAAGAATGCGAGTCCTGTGCAAGAGCTCAGCAGTGCACGCCCGTGTCTCTGTGCTGCAGGAGTTCTTTGAGAACCAGAAGGCTGCCAATGCTGCAGCAGATCACCAGACTTCCCTGGAGCTTCGGTCTTCTGAGATGGAGTCAGACATCAAGACTCTGCAGGGGGACTTGGACCACACCCGCCAAAAGCGAGAGGAGCTGAAAGGACAGCTGCAGACAGCTTCGGAGGAGCGTCGGGAGGAGCAGAGTGCCTTCCAAAAAACGCAGTGGGACCAACAGATGACACTCCGCGCCCTCCGACAGGTGCCTGCCTGGCCTTTACAGAAATAACGACTAAACGACCAAGTCCATCCTCCTCCTTGTCTCTGCCATCTGCCCGGAAGGCCTTCCGGAAGCTCTCTGGTGTCTACGGACCGTCGTCCTTCCTCAGCCGGCCACGGGAGGTCTTCGGAGGGCTCCGAGAGACCTGCACAGTACAGCAGAAGCTGAGACTGGCCAAGACCAGCCAAGAGTCACTATCTCCTGAAGCTTTCATGTGACGCCAGGCCGCAGGCTACCACAAGAATCGGATGGGTGGAACCGTGCTGAAGCTGCTGCAGACCTTAATGGCTGACGCGCAGGACCTGGTGTCTCGGTATGCAGCTGTCAACGTAGCATCACGGTGGTCGTGTCACAACGGCGTGCAAGAGGCGATTGGTAAAGAAGGACGAAGATACTAGTAGCATTCTGAGAGAGGGCGAAAGAGGTTGCTTGCAGCTCGAAAGCCCTAAGCATCCCAACGCCATGCATCCCTAGAGTTCCGAAAAGAGATCACACACCCCAAGGTCGACAAGGCCACGCTGGCGGAGAACCAGGCCGAGGTCGGGCTCCAAGCTGAAGTGCGAAGCAGAGGAAGAGGTTCTCTGTTTTTCATGAGTGTACCTAGCGGCCCTAGCATACCTTGCAAGATCTCTAAGTCGGCTGAACAAGATCTAGGTAACAGTAAGTGCATACTAGACCGTTCTAGAAGATAGTCCTTTACAGTTGTATAGTCGGTTCTGAAGAAGGAGCAAGAACGTGATCTTTCATAGGGCCTCCAAGAACGTGATTCGCACGCCAAGGATGTTGGAGTGGAAAAGAAGCATTAGCTAACCTAGTCTGCCGCAACAACCTGACCCTCACTTGATGTAGCCCATCAAAACCATATCTGAGCTCAGCCAAATTAAAGTCACATAAGTAAAACCCAGCTCTCATCTGAAGTCTCCCATGTGGCTTGGCCAACATCTTTCTAAGCAGACCTGGACCGTACCGGTTTATCCTGCCCACCATCGAGACCCTTTTGAAAGCACTCAAGTGAGTTGGGGTAGCGGTTCGGCTAAAATTGGCAGCCATCTTTACGGCATGCACACACTTTTCGGCAGGTGTCCCGTTGTTGGATGGGATGAAGGTGATGAATGATGGTGCTGCAGATTGCACTCGAAAACAGCGTGCTTGAGGGCTTATGCCGGCCTTGTTAGGCCTTGACATGTGAAGTGCCGGGTGTCTGCTTGGCCGGGCCGCCTTTCCAACAGACCCGAAAGGGTCAGTTGCCTGTGGCTTCACCGGATGTTGTGCGCTATGTGCACACTGCTGCCAATGTGAAGTGTCTCGAATGACTAGCCGTGTTAAATGTATCACGTGCACCCAGCTGAGGAACCCGACACACCTACTGTAGTCTTGTCGTAGTGCTAGCCGGATGAGTCATGTGAACGGCACCAACGGCGGCCATGTCGCTAGACACATACATAAATCACAAGGTGAACATGCATGGATGCTTTTCGCTTGACATCTTGAGACTTTGGAAGACCCTCAGGTCAGCTATGGTCGTTTTGTGGAGGAGAGCGTCTCGCGAGCAACGAGCGATGTTTGTCCTTCGAGTCTTTCGCAAGGCTCTTGTCCCTCGGCTACGCTGCACAAGATCTTGGAAAGTAAGCACATGACGGAGAAGCATCCCCAAGAGCTTCCACCCGTGAGCTTCGTATGTCTTCGACTATTGCCCTGGAACTTGTGCTAGGACTAGTTTCTCATTCTCCTGACCTCCCGTGACCATCGCAGGAGACGAAAACAATGCTGGAGTCACTTCAAGCGAACACAGTGGCAAAGTCGCGGGCGAGACTCGGGAGCATTCAGGTTTAGCACTTGGGGGGTCGTACCCAGACGAACCGATGCATCTGCAGGGCTGGCTAATCGTGTCTGCTGATAAACCTCTGCTTCAGAGGGACGAGAACAAAGAGCACAGATTGGAGATCAGTGCCGGCACCAGAGTAGAGCAACGGTTGATATCCAGGTCCCTACGCAACAGTAGCACTGGGACAACTCGAGCCGCCACATATGAAACTGTCCACAGCAACTGAACAGGACGAGCATTCTGGGATCCCAGATCTCGGGTCAACCTTCATCGCTGTGAGTTCTCAGCGTGCGCCAGGATCGCGACAAGCAAGAAGGATTTCCTCCAGACTGGGCAGGACGTGAGGCTGAATGCTCAGGACATGGGTCATCGCACCAAGAAGTGAGCTCTCCAACATCAAACATGATCTCGTCACCTTACTTGTCACTTCCCATCATGGCTTGTTGCACTTGTTCGGCCGTCCGTACTCCTTGCCCCATAAAGGAGCAACACGACCTCGCAGTGCAGAAAGCTAACCTCAAGGCAATGCGCTGCCGGTGATTTCTAGAAGTTGAAGCAGGATGAAGTCTCAAGGTGCCAGCGGATTCAGGAGAACAGGGGTGTCCTTGCAGGCCCAGTGCGACTCCTTGATCAAGAACTTTGACGAGATCAGCAACAAGCGGCAGTCGGAGATTGAGGCACGCTTCGGGCAGGATGTCCCAGCCAGATTCCAAAGCCCAAACCGCAAAGCAAGCAAGCAAGCACCAGTGTTCGTGAGCCCTTCAAAGCGAATTGCGAGTGGTGTAGCAGGCGTTGACCCAGTCGAAGGTGGTATTGGCAGAGTGAAGCTGTGAACTGTCGCGAAGAAAGAAGGGTGACCGGGGGCTCGAGGGCTTGTCCCAGACTTTCGGGGCCAGGCAGTTGGCAATACGAAGGTGTAGCTGCAATGAGCTCCTGTTTGTGCAGTGAAACAAGAGAGCGGCATGCTCAGCGTTGACTTTGGCTGCAGGGCACAGCACCGCTTCAAGCCCTGCCCCTTCCACCAGCGAGCCCAAGCCCAACTTCAGCAGCAAGCCTTAGCCTGATACCCATCAGTGACGAAGCAGACCCTGAACCAAGACAGATGCTGGAAGCTAGACGAAAACACAAGCCAGTCACAAGCTCTAGCTCCCATGGTGCGACTGCAGCGGTGGCGCAGAGCCGGGGCGCAGTCCTTGGCGGCCGAAAGGGTGGGTGTTGAAGCTAGGAAAACGAGCTCTTTGGAAAGGCTTCTGCACACGTGGATTGCGAGAAGGTTGCTCCACCCTGCAGCAGGCAGCCACTAACCGTCTGCCAAAAACTTTCGGGCCCTAGCGAAGTCTATGATGGCCACCTCGCATTTCTAGCAAACGCAGTCGAAGTTCATGTGAGCATCGGACTAAACCTCCGGAAGAGGTAATCAGTACTAGAGTGGACACGAGATTGTGGAAAAGTAGGTTTAGTATGAAAACCGATAGGGGCCGACCTATGTTCGGTTAGCTGATCCCTGCAAAACCGATAGGGGTCAACCCTGGGCATATTCTAGCTGATCCCTGCATAACCGATAGGGGCCGACCTGAGTTCTCGCGGGCTTTACGTCGAACCATAGGTTTAGTCAGCCGCTCATGTGTTTCCCAGGCCTGCATCGTTGGCTTGGCGACTGCGGCCTGCTTTGTGGATGGCGGCGTGGGCAGGCCCGGAAGGATCGCTGGCTCTGGATCTTAAGCCTTCAATTTGCAGGAAGACAGTGTGGAAGAGGTCACCACAAACTAGGAAGAAGGAAGAAGTCGTATGAATTTCGTCTGCCAGCCGGTTCAAGAGCTTTCGAAGTAAGGAGACCTGACAACAAGTCGGAGCTTTGTAGCAGTTCGCTTGATGAATCGACCTTGGCATAAAAGATCATCCCTTTCGCCTAGTGGGTCCCATGCCCTGGTGCGTAGGATCGCAGTGGTTCGCATATAGCGCAGGACAAGTTTCCAGCTGCGACGCACAGCTTTACAGGCTGTGGAGCATCTGCAGCGTGTCTGTTGGAGAGAGTGTCCCACGATGTGTTGCTTCAGATATCGGAGTGAGCAATCGAAGGCGGACGCAGCACCAGAGCCCCGTGACGGAATTGCCCCTTGGACACGAGCAGCCTTTTCAGCTTTCGCCATGCTTCAGCGAGAAGCTGAGAATCGGTCCGCAACTCGAGCCATCCTGCTCTCAAGCCACCCCTGCAGCTCGTGGAAGCCGCGCGTCACTCGCTAGAGTCATGGGCTGCTGTAAATGCTGCACGCCTAAAGTGCAGGCCATCGTGGGCCTGTCTTCTGCTCCGCTGAACTTTGCAATTCTGATCTGGGCGATTGCAGAGAAAGTCAGATGGACTCCGTTCTATGTGCCTCTGGAGTGCGACCCGGCGACCCCCGATGGCGTGAGGCTCTCATTGCTCAGCATGCCATCTCCTTATGCCGAGTCCATGGGTTTGACACCGGGTTCTCCTCCACATGGCATCTACACGAACATGACTGTCACCACCGCCTGCTTCAACCCGGGTCAGGCAAAGACGACCATTCTGGCCGCAGGTTTCGAGGCTGTCGAGCTGGCACCGAACCTCACTGATCTGGAGAACGGCGGCTTCGGTGTGCCGTACACGGAGAGTGCGAGGGCACACTTGGCTGGGGATGCGGTGTATCCCATCGGGGGTCGGGGCGAGATGGTGACCGTCGCGCAGACGGCAATGACCATGGAGAACATTTTGGGGAGCATGACCCCCGATGCGATTGCGCGCGGCTACTCGCTTGGATATGCTCGCGTAACTCAGACAGTGCAGACATGTGCCGCGATCTTCGGCCTAGTGAGCTGCACCGATGTGCCGTCGGAGCAGTTCTGCGGATCCTACGCAGGCCGTCATTTGCACTCCCTGGTGTCTCCCGTTTTCCCACATGAGCACAACCCCTGGAAAGGCAACTGCATGGTGCCAGTGCTCGACTCCTCTGGTGATCCTGTCGTGCCGGAGCAGCTGGAGCCCGCCCTCTGTGCCTACACCGGGTGCCGATCGGTCGAAACAGCGACTCAAGCCCTTAAAGCTGCTAGGGCTGTGACCTGCGTTCACCTGTGTGTCAACACCACACCAGACGAATCACCCCCCCGACAGGAAGCTCTGTGGCGAAGAGGCCGAGGTCCATGCCCAGTTGAGCCCGGAGGCAATGGGAATTCAGGCCATGGCACAGTCAGTGCGCTAGAAGACTAAGAGATCGCTGTCCCCTTCTCCAGTCCGCCACTTCCTGTCATGCGAGATGCGAGGTGGTGAACCAGACAGCCTGCGACGCGGCACTGGGGCTTCCTAACGGCACCCTGTGCAACGTCATCGAGGCGCCAGGTGTGGACCCGGCCACTATGCGGCCACGCGTCGTCGAGCCTGCCATCACCCTGACCACAGAGGCTCTTGCCCGGATGAACGAGGGCCTGGCGGTGGCAGAGTCGGCCATAAACACGATGATTTGGTTGACTATTGCGCTTAATGCCCTCCTCTTCGTTGTCATGTTGGCGTCTGGGCTTTTCAACCTCCGGAAGCACTTGCGAGCAAAGGCCACCGCTCAGGCCGAAGCGAGAGGAGCCCCACCCACCTTGGCCACGAATGCCTTGGACAACAAGCCGTAGTCGCTCGAGTGGGCAGCCGGGGTGGTGCATGTAAATTCGAAATTCGTTTTTGAGGGTCGGAGCTTTGCTGCGCTCTGGGATTCGCAAGATGCTGGATGCTGGCCTGCTGCATGGTCCATTGCTTGCATTCTGGAAACGAAGCTACTCTCAGTGTGACGAACACAAAGCACTAGCAAGCTTTGGACCATGTGACGTCCCTTTGCCTCTCTGTCCAGGAGTTCCAGGTTCGTGCCGAAGGCACTGCAATGCAGTTTTTCATAGCCACTCGAACCCTTGAAGATGCAAGCAGTGTTGTGTGAGACAGAGTCCGCCGTCCCAACGTTGCGGTGACTCTGTGACTGTGAGGTCGTCAACGAAATAAGATACGAGCTTCCAGCATTCACGAACCGCTGTCTCCGAGCTGGTGCACACACAGACACACAGACACACGTGTCTTGTCCGATTCTCGCGTTTGCATGTGTCCAGCTCTGTGTGCCAAGGACTGGGACGGTTTGGGTTTCGGCCTGACCACCAAAGCCACGCAAATGGTCGTGCCAGCCCTGGGCCGATAAAGCGAAGATGCAAAGCGAAACTAGGTACTCGCACCTACTGATTACTGCTAACGGCTAACGTTGCTAATGCTTCCGCGGCTGCTGCTGCGGCGACCAGGGTGACGGCGACGACGACGATGACGACGAGAACGATGACCCGCACGGCCACGACCGCGGCTGCGGCGCTACCTACTCGACTCTGTACACGTGTCATTCTTGTTCCAGTTGTGCTTCAACATGGCGCAAGAGCCGAGCAATGATGGGTCTCCCACACCCAGGCAGATCAAAACATAGGCCGCGGCCAGAAGACTGGTTTCGCCCTTTTCAACAAAAGCGTACACGAGCGCCTGTCGACAAAAGGAAGTCCCATCCCAGCTGGCCAGTGAGTGCCCTCGAGAAGCAGATGTGTAAGGTTGCCAAGTGTCCCTTGGGTGGCCAGTGGTCTGACTTCGAGGCGCTGGGGTAGAGGGTCAGCGTTTGCAACTGGTAGTGCAGCCGAAACTCTCTGCAGGTTCAGCCGTATGGGCCTCTCCAGCTCGAGCCTGCTGTGACTCGGCCCGGATTGATGGGTGAAGCGATGAGAAGTAGACTGGATAGCAGAGATGTTTGTGCCGTGCCGGCCCAAGACGACAGCACTGAACTACGGCCAGTCCATCTTCGAGGGGCTGAAGGTGCGAGGTCTACCGGCAATCCGGGAGGGCCGAGGCATCGGAGTTTCGGACATCAACACAGGACTGGAACCATTCCGAGTGGCCGAGTGTTGCTTCGTAGACGCCCCGAGCCATTAAGTTTGCAGCGGTGGATGTCTGTGTTAGCCGATGCCTGCGAGGCCTTCCGGACCAGCAAAGGCAGCGGGCATGCGATGACGAGCACGTTGCTTGAGATGGTGTCATCTCACCGCGAGGCAGGATCGTCCTTTTCCGGCCAGACAAGAATGCCGAGCGATGCTCGGCCGCAGCTTTGGAGCGATTTGGCAGCAACTTTGGTGGATTCTGCTGAGGCATGGCAGGAGGCGCAGAGAGGCCCGGGAGGGACAGCATGTAGATCTGGTGCTCCTGGTCAGTGCACAGGGTCACTCCGGGTGATGGTCTTGCGACGCACCAGCTTCAAGCTGGCAGAGTCGTAGCTCGCACGACTCATCGGAGAACTAACGCTCGGAAGAGCTCCGAGCCCAACCCTCGCGACCAGGTTCCTGATGCCCCCAGTGCCCCGGGACCTCTTCATGCAGATGTGCCGGGATGCTGTCCGCACCTTGCCGCTATGGATCTACGGAAAAACACATTCCGGAGCTTGTGCCTGAAGAAGACGTGGTGGCATGACCGACGCTTAGGATTGACGAATAGGTTTGACCGCATGAACACCAAGTAGCATCAGCCGCTAGCTCAAGCGCGTCTGCGACCCTGCCGGCCACTTCCAGGTGCCAATGCGGACTGGGTGCCTCCAACAGGCGACGGACCCGGCCTCGCGTTGTGGCCGCCTTCGAGCTTTCCAGCCCCAAGGCAAGGGCTCTTTGTACATGCGACCCCTTCTCTTTGGCAGCCTTGGCCTCAGAAAACGACAGCTTCGCCGACATCGAAGTCACATGGATTGATCTGCCACTCTCAGGCCGCATCCGCAGGTCTGAAACGTGTCGAAATCGTTTTCGCCGGGTCGTCGTTTCGATATTCCTGAAGCAGACGCTGCCAGATCTGTGCACTTCTGCTGACCTTGCAACGCGAAGCATCGGACCGAAAGCTCTGAGAAGTTAGCTTGCAAGTTGGTGTATCTCGAACCATCAAAGGGGCTGCTAAACGCAGTTTCATCACGACGACGCAGCTAAGATGAGTCTTACGAGACTATGCCGGAGTCATCTTGAGGCGGACCTGCGCTGGGAGTGGGTGAGACCCCCGGTCTGGGATGAAGTGCTTAGGAGCGAGCATCAGACCGGCCGGCAATTTTCCAGCAGCGCGCGCATTCATAACGTGCTCTAGGCGCATTATGACCATTTTCCCTGGCATTTCCCAGGGAAAACCCAAACCGCTAAATGGCGTGAATCCCAGACCCGAAACAATTCACAAGACTTCTCGAGACCAGGGCCGAGCCCCGAGTTCACCTTCGTCATCTACGTGGCGCCGGTGGGGAGGTGCGGTGATTCCATCTTATTCCTTTCGGCTTCCCCTAAAGCATCTTTAATGCACTGGACAACACAGCTCAGCAGGCTCCCGTGTCTGCTGAAACTCTCATTGTTCCGGCACTTGAGACTGCACTTGGTGCAGAAACAAAACGTTTCTCCGCAGCAGCCGGCTTGGCAGAATTCAGATCAAGGGCAATCGGGATGTCTTGAACAGAGGTCTGAGGGCCTCATTGGCGAAAGGTTGATGCAGTGCGTGGTCTGTGTCTCGCTCGTATCTCCGCTCACGATAGTTGCTGTCGTCTAGGCCCTAGGTCACACAATCAAACAGATGCTTACCTTAGAGGATTGGGTCTCCTCCGTTGCATCTCTTACTGTAGGCTTTCTCCCCTCCCCTTGGCTTCGCTGCATCGCTCGCCCCATCTCGTCCCACCGCACAGCTACTTCTCCGGCAGCGGAGCACGGCTGCGGATCGAGCGAGGCCTGAGGGCACAGGAACAGTGGGAGCTTTCAATTTCGTTTGAGGGAGGTGTCGCTCGGTGCGGTTCAGGGGAGTCCGAAGTTCGAAGCTCCGTGAGCCCAGGCCACCACCGGGCGGCGGAGCTCGGCGTTGGAGACGTGAAGGCCGCCGCTTCGGTTCCGTGGGTGAGGCTCCTTGGTCCTTGCGTGACCTTGCAGGCGGCAGGCAACTACGCGCGCTGCCCTCGGAGCTGGAGGGCCGACGTGAGGTCAGGGGACCACCCTTTTTTTCTAGCCAGGGTCTAGGTCTATCGCATGTTGCTTGGACTCAGCAGATGCCCTGCTATATGAGTCGTACGAGGGTTATTACTGTCGGAGTGGTTCTTCCTCGAAGGTTCCACGGCGTGTAGTCGAAGTCGGTTCCCCACGAGCCGTCTTTGCACTGAAGGCCTTGTTTCAGCCCACAGAAGGATGCCAAAGCGGCAGGCCAGACCGGGATTCTTGCAGGCCAAGGTTCCAAGGTTCCTTGCGGGTTCTCCATTGGAAATCCGGTCATAGAGACAACATGGGACATTCCGCCCGGAACCCAAAGCTCCAGCACATACCAGTAGCCGGCAACGACCGACAGCTCAAAGGAGTCGCAACTGGCGGTCGGCCCCGGCTGTCACGGCACATTCGGCAGAAGCCATCAGCTTAGATTCTCGGATCGGCCTCGAGCCCCTAATTCATTTCTTTCACCAGTCTCTCTCTCGCTCGACCCCGCCATGCGCCGCCTCGCCGCGGCGTGGCGACCTCGGCTCCTTTCAAGGAGCCTTGCGGCGGAGGCGGAGGCGGAGGCCAGGACATCTGCCCCGCAATCCCTCGCAGCAGGGTTTAGGTCCTGGAACGAAGCCCGAGATGCTTCATGCATCAGTTTCCTGGTGAGAATATGTCTTGCTGCAAGTCCAGAGGGTGGGAGCTTCCAAGCTCTGGCCCGGGAGTTCTCTTTTTGCGAAGTGCGTGCAACATTCCCGAAATCACGGAGAACGGACAGCCATTTGGTTACATTTCTTCCAAGTAACATAGCCGTACTGGTCCACTCGATGCATGTTCTTGTCGAATGGATGTATGTAGGTAATGCTGCGCAGACTACGCATTCGTACATATTTTAGGGCCAGCTAAGTGCATGTTTAGACACGTCTGTGTACATTCATGAATGCAGAAGTAGTATACTCACAAACCTGTACAAAAGTAAATTTGTATTCAGGCTTGCATGCCTGCATGCGGTGCCTTGTTCATTGGAGGTGGTACAAGCCAAGGACCCGGCTCATGTCCTCAACCTTCCTTCTGTGGCAGGCCGGCGAAATCGTGGAGGTGCCCACAGAGACGCTTTCAACGTTGGACCGGTATGGCAGGGGAGATCGGGTGGTAAAGCTCTCCTTGAGTGGAAGCTTGTCTAATGCTGGGATTTTTTTGCCACACTGGGCTCACGGCAAACGCTTGTTGAGTTGCGGCCGAACGCATGTAACACTCGAGAGATGTGCCTTTCCTCATGCAGAAACACTTGTGTGTTCTCGAGTGAGACTACGGGGCAGGATCCAGCCCTGCCAAAACAGTGTCAATCTGGTCTTTGAGAATCGTTCTCCCGATGCGGGGGTCGTAGTGGTTGAAGCAGACCGGGGGTAGCTCGAACCCTTCAAGCCGAGCTCGAGGAACCAAGTTCCTGACACTGCGCTCGACACTTGCACACAGCGCGGTGCTGGACAGCATCGTGACACGAGCTGAGACCAACGAAGCCTCTCGGATATCCTTGGTGCTAAAAACTCCCGGGAACCCAGGAACCTCCAGGAATCCCTGCCTCGAGCCCTGCAAGCCTGGAAGCCTCAAGCTGAAGCCAGGAATGGAATCTCTTCGGCATCCCCATGTATATTAAGGATGTGCGGACATGAAGCTAAGGAACTTGCGAATGATGGTGCCATCTTCGTAGATCGAGAGACTCCTCCGCACCTCATCTGGTCTAGGCGATAGTGCAAAGCCAGTGCGGCCTGAGAAGCTGGCCAAGGTAGCCGGGTAGCCACGTTCTTCTGGCAGAAATGGCTTCCACGTGCTCGGTTTCCATTTTCCTACACCCCGAAGCATACGCCCAGACGCCTGAACCCTGACGAACCGAAGTCCTCATGCACCTCAGCCGAGACTTCGTTTGGAATACGGCAAACCTCGAACTTCCATGGCCGCTTCTGAATTCGCTTTGCAACTACGGGAAAATGTGCATTTGCAAGCTAAAGTACATCAAACTGACGTGGGGCACTGGGGCCCATGGCCTTCTTTCCAAAGTGGATCATGCTGCTTTCGAGCGGTCAATCGAATCATGGAAGTGCTGTGCATCAGCTCCCAGAACCCATCGCGTCCCATCACCACGGAAAGTTAATTCTTCCCTGGCATGCAAGCTTTTTGAAACCACTCTCCATTGCATGAGCGATAGTAAGGATCCGAAGCACTTTCCGATCATCCTCAACCACTTGAGGCCCGTATAACCCAGTTCTGATGCAGCAAGTCAGCTGGCCTATGCATCTCATTCAGTTCACTCATGACTTCTCACAGTGCCATGAGACGAGGATGAAAGCAGAGGGCCGCGAAATCTTTCAAAACCCGTGCAAGTGGGTCAAGGCCTTGCCGATGTGTTGTTCTGCAGTTTGGTCGAGTTGCAAGTTTCCGACTGTTTGAGGAGCTAGAAAGCAGGGTTGCGACGACATCGTACTCCTGTATGCAGTGCTTTTGGAAGCAGGCCATCTTCTGAGTCGAGCTTCCCAGCTGCTGCAGGGGAAGAGCCACGCACCCATGCTACCCAGAGACACCGCTGATCTGCGAGACCTCCTTGTGGAGGCGGAGCAGTTTCCATCGAGTTCAGTCACTGTGTCCCGTGTCAGACATGGAGCCAGGCAGAGCATTATGGCCTCCCAGAGCTTCGTATGAGGCCTGCTGCATGCTGCAGGAAACTTTCAGGAGAAAGAGGGGAAGCTTTGCCCAGAGGATCCTGTCGAAGAGGAAGCTGGCGAGGCTTTTCAGCATCATGGCGGGTAGCTCAGGCCGGGTGCTGCAGACCGCGCGTCCAGAGGAAGGATCGAAAGCTCTTGCAGGCAACCCCTTCGACAGTGCCACGCGTGTACTGATGACGATTCGTACCCCGGACTCGGATGAAATCTTGAGGAAAATTAAGAACCACTATGCTGTGTTGCAACTCGAGTCTGAATCTTGGGATTCTCGCTCCCCAACTGCCCTGAGAGCTAGAGGCAACACAACTCTGCTGCTGGGAACGGGGCTTGCCAGCAGCCAGGCCGGTCACGCAGTGAGGGACGGCCTGCCAGCTTGAGCGATGCCTGCTGAGCTGTGGAAGGTCTTGCTGAGCCAGCTCAAGGAATCCAAGGACAAATCAGGGCCAGGGATCTCGGTAGGACGTGGGTTTGGACTCAAGTTCAAGTCCGGAAAAGACTCCGCTCGTGGCGGGGAACACTTCGAAGTGCTGTCAATTGCTGTGTTGTGCTGAGGACCCCATGCAGGCCCTGGATGTTGTGACCAACTTCACGAAGACCCGCGCGGGGACATCCTCATCGTAAAACCTTCCGTAGCACTGCCCCTGGCAGTGAGGCTGCGGACCACCACAGCCGCCTTTCAGAGGTCTTAGGGCGCAACCGGAGTGTGCAAAGATGCACTGCCCTGGCCTGAAGCCTCGCAGCATTTTCCAAAGGTCCTTTGTTCCAAAGCACGGAATAGTTTCTATGGCGCAGCCCGAAAAAGCATTCCGCTCCGTGCAGTGGAAACTTGGGATGTAAATCTTGAGCCTTCGGAGGCTTCTCCGACATCCTCTACTTCGATCCCAGCGGAGAGCGAGTGGAAGAGGCTCTGGCAATCATTTAGAAGGTTCTTCACAAGAACCACAAGAATTGCTGGCTCGCGCAGAGGCTGCGGCGAGCAATTTCTTCTGCATCACTGAGGATGCGCATGGTCTTTTGGGGGTTCGGCCGACTTCGGGGCGTTCTGTCAGCATCTCGATTGAGTTGAGATATCAGACTTGCGTGAGACTCCGCCAGACTACAGCGTAGACGAGAGCTGACTAGACTGCATGCATCGAAGAAGCAGGGTGATGACGTTGTTCTGTCGCTTGTCAGGACGGTGTCTTGAAGACACCTGAGCTTGGCACCATCCTGCAGGAAGCCAAGGAAGTTGCTTTCAGTAGCGTCGCATCTCATTCATCCTCAGCATCAGCATCAGCATCATCAGCATCAGCATCAGCATCAGCATCATCAGCATCATCAGCATCATCAGCATCATTAGCATCATCAGCATCAGCACCATCATCATCATCATCATCATCATCGATATCATCGTCATCATCTTCATAGTCATCATCGGTTGATCCTTATCGATGCAGCGCTGTGGCTAGCTCTCGGGGTTCCAGGGCGGTCTAGCATGAGAAAGCTAGGGGGCCTTCCTAGAAGTCCCTACAATAACGATTCACCTTTTGAAGTCTTTCTGTCTAGTGCACCGTCGCGTTGATGAATAAAATAGACTCGAGTTTGTGTGGACCACTGTCGACATTCGCGAAGCACCTGTTCGAGGTCAAACAGTTCCTGTTTGCTCCCGAAGACAGCGGAAGCACAGACGGTTGTGCACTGCGCGCCCTGCAAGCCATGCTTCAAGACGAAATTCCTGAGTGGTTTTAGTGCGCACGACCTGTAATTTCTGTTGGGTGACTAGCGATATGTTTGTGAACTTTGAGAGCGAGAGAGCCAACGAAAAGCCTTAGGTTCTCGAGTTTGACAAGCTTGTAGCAAAAGCATCTCCACATGAGCTCCAAGTTCGCTCTTCTTGAGAGCTTCTTGTTGGAGACCCTCGATCAAAAAAGCCCTTTTCCCTCTAAGGCTGTCACCGGGCATCCTAGTATCATGGTTGTTTTCTACGTTACTGTTGATGTGACTTCAGGCAGATGGAACTTCACTTGCTTCGATGTGCCGGAATGCGTCCTCGAAGTGCCTTGCTGGCATGCTCTGGAGCCATTGAAGCTTGTCGAGGTCCGGGGTAACGCGCGACTCCATCCTGCAGTTGGCCAGGTGGGGGGCCTCGAATGAAGCGCAAGTCACATCTAAGCTTAATGTTTGGTACGAAGAGCTGACTACATGCATAGAGAGACACCTGCAACCGAATGAATGCATGAATGAATGAATGACTGAATGAACGAAGGAGCCACCGCACGAACGAATGAACGAACGAACAAAGGATGAACGATGAACGAGTGAATGAATGCATGAACGAACGAACGAGTGAACATAACAACGAATGATGGAATAGGAAGTAAGGCACTGAGTCAGTTCTTACGTAGCTGCGTAGGTATGTATGGGTCTGTACGAATGTATGCATGCATTATGCAGGTTTGTCTTACTAATGTGCATATTTATACACTACCGATATATCTATACACATGATGTATACATGTATGTTAATGTATATGATTAGGTATGTCTGTAGGCATGTATGTATGTATGTATGTATGTATGTATGTATGTATGTATGTATGTGTGTGTATGTATGTATGTATGTATGTATGTATGTATGTATGTATGTATGTATGTTTGTACGTATTTATCGGTATCTATGTATATGTATTTGCACATTGGTATTTGTATGTATATTTACTGTATGTGTATTTGTTTGTGTTTCTGTATGTGTATATGTATGTGTATTTGTATGTGCATAGGTATATGTACATGTTTATGTTTACGTACATGTACATGGACATGCATGTATGTGGGTCTACATATATATGTACATATTATACAAATTATACATAAATGTGTGTGTGGTTTCGTATATACAGGCTATATACATATGTTCGAACATGTGTACGTATATGTATGTGTGTGTGTATGTGCGTACGTATGTATGTATGTATGTATGTATGTATGTATGTATGTATGTATGTATATGTACATGTACATGTACATGTATATGTATATGTGTATGTGTATGTGTATGTGTACGTGCATGTGTATGTATATTTGTATGTATACGTATGTATATCTGTATACATGCATGTACATATTCGTATATATGAATGTATGTACGTACGTATGTACGTACGTATGTATGTACGTATGTATGTACGTATGTATAAGCGTCTTGGCCCGAATTTTTCGGAACGTCAGCTTTGCTTAGCTCCAACGCCCATGCAATGCCAAGATCGGAAGGGTCGACTTCAAGTAGCGATGCTAGCTCTGCGTACGATAGCTCTTCTTTATCTGCTCCAACCGATCCCGACAGTGCAGACATCGATGCAGCTTCAGAGGGAGCCCAGAACGAACAGGATGCAGAGTTGGAAGCAGAACAGCATCATCCCGAGGAAGCCCAGAACGGACAGGATGCTCAGATGGAAGCAGAACAGCATCAGCCCCAAGAATCTCAACATGGTTCGCTGGCGGGACCCATATTGCCTAGGCACAGATTCCTCAGCGCCGCGCAAGTTGCTAGAATTGAGTGGTTCAGAAGCAGGTGCTGTATAGGATCGGCTATGCTTACATGGACAGACATTATGCTTCTCAGGGACATAACGCGCGTAGCATCACTCAGCGGCTCAGCGCGTTCCGGAGAAGAGCAAGTGGACTGGACCCACCATCCCTTGCAGAGCTGGTTCGACCGCAACTGTTTGAGCCTACTGCCACTCAATGCCTTCAGGATATGGAAACACTCACCACCCTGCTGGACGGCGCGGTCAAACCCAACGATATGGGTTGGATCTTGGGCTTGGGTGCTCCTGGAACCAATGCTCCTCCGAAAACCCTGGCAGTCCAGCGCCTACAGGCCCTCACATCTAACCACCTGGCAGACCGCCTCCACTTTCAGGAAGCAGCACAACATGCCACTGACCTGGTTTCGATGTGCTCCACCGCATTCTATCAAGAACTGGTCCTCACGCTGTGGCCGCTGCTTGGAGAAGATGGACAGTACGCTTTTCAGGTTTGGTTTGTACGGTATGCCAGCCGCCATGTGGACCGCATGCGGGAAGATGAGCGAGCTTCCGGCTCTAACGACTGAGCCTCGACCCCATGGAGCAAGCAGACGACAGGAGGGCCACCCCGGTCCCAAGTCCGGGGACGAAGGTGATTGGACTCAAGGTGGGGCCAAGCTGCAACATGCTAGCCTCCCAGAGAATGTCCAAACTACTCAAGGTAGGCAGCCCAATCCCTTCGTAGACGTGAGGGTAGGAGGTAGTTGTGGTCGTCACCCTCCTGTAGCCTGGTCATGCAACCTTTGCCCTATCTTTACGACGGTGAAGCTATACGACCCCATTTCCCCAGAAGCTCTCCTAAATAGGATAAGCACCCTGGGACCTGCGCTAGTTAATGTGTTTAGTTTTACATGTTCTTTCTACCTCTTCCAAAGCCAACACGGCCAGAAGCTTGCGATGCTACGCTGGTGGCTAGCTGTTATGGCCTGCCTGCTGTCTACGCCAAGGCCGCCACACAGCCTGTCAGACACGCGAGCTCCCGAGACCGTACCCCCAGTATGGTTACTAGGGATAGTATGCACCCTGCCACAATTAGTCATCTTTCTGGCACATATCTGCACTAGAAGGCCCCGGACTTGCTCTCCCACCCGACTCTTTCCAGGCTGTGTGAAGCGTCGGCCCGGACTGATCCGTCGCCCGCCAAGACGGCTGGCCAACACTGCGACAAGGGATGCGGTGTGCGAGCATAACTTGACCCGTCATAACACTGTTACCTCACAGTTTCGCCCAACAAGACAAGTCCCTCGCCTGACTTCGGTCTTAGTGCTAATAGCCTGTAGTGTAGTCCCTGCAATGGCCACAGCCCAAGCCCAGACTTCTCAGGCTACGCTACCGCATGGGGATTATATTAACGCGTATGGATCCCTGAAAGCACAGTCACTCTCTGCCTCGCGCAAGCGCTCTTTCAAAAGAGCACAGGCCAGAGCGCTCAGAGATGGAACCACCATGTATAGAGGGCAGCCTCATACTGCACAAAGCCTTGCTCTGCGTTATGTTGGCCCGTCCCCCGCTAGGCACCTTAGACACCCCACTCCGCACCCCACCTGTCTTCGGTTTATAACGTGGAACGCAGGGGGACTCCATGCAGCAAGATATGCCGAAACTCTGGCCTGGCTCGATTGCGAGCGAGCGGCTGGCAAGCCGGTGCAAGTTTTATGCATCCAGGAGTCGAAGTGGCCAGCCGATAGTGAGTACTCCAATGATCACTGGCACGCAGTGCATAGTGGCATGGGTAAAGCTCAAGGAGGTATACTGTTCTTAGTCTGCAAGACTCTGGTCACCTCGACCCAGCTCAAACACGCGGCCTTGGTGGCAGGCAGAGCTCTGCACCTCCGGATCGGCACACGGCCACCCATAGACTTGCTAGGGGTATACCGACATTCCTGGAACACAGCCCCTGGACCGCAGAGCCCCCACCCTACGGCAGATGCGAACGCAAGCCTGCTGCAAGCCAGAGCCAAGATTTGGTCCACCATGGAGAAGTGGGCACGCTCTGTGCCCGCTCGTCACCAATTCTTAATTCTTGGGGACCTCAACTGCACTTTGAAGCCCAACAGCCCGTATGTAGGATCAGGAGTGGCGCACCACAAGTCCAGCACACACTCTGATCAACACCTGCTACAATCTATGGTGGAGTCCCTAGGTCTCACAGCCATGAATTCTTGGGGCCGCAAAGGTATACAAGCTGGAACCTACTTGCACCTACAACAACATCGGGTTCAAATAGACTTCCTGCTAACCCGGCTCCCCTGCGCATCAAGCGCCGGTGATTCACCCGACAGGGTTCAGACACGTGCCGGTGGAAGGTTTCCTGCCACAGCCCGATGCCAACAGGTTTCGCGCCAACCAGGGCGAACATAACATACGTCCCCATCAGATTCGTCAGCACCTGGAGGCAACCCCAGGAATGTTGGAAACCTTCCAACACAATGTTTCTGTATCCATAGCATCTGACACAGACCTGGACCAGTGTCTGCAAGAGGCGTGGAATAGGAGCCATTCTTTGCCCATGCAGCAAGCGAGGACAGGGAGACAGCCAGCAAGGACAGGTCACCCAGTCAATCTCAAAACATACTGGCAGTCGAAACGAGCCCTGCAGCAAGCCCAGGCTAAACTAGAGAGGTACAACTCGCCAATTGTATGGCACTTCGCAAGAGCTCCTGCAGACACGGTCGTTGCTTCCTTTCCAAGAAGCCTCCGAGCTCTCCGCCCGCTTTTTCATATGTGGCGAACGGAGGTGCAATTTCGCCAACAAGACCGATGCATTCGTAAGCAGATTCGGCAAAACAAACAACAGAAGGTAGAGCATCTCATTAAAGAGGCCCTAGCCCTACCGTCAGGCAGTCTAACAGGGCTGTATCAGCTCACTAAACAACTACGACCCAAAACCTCCAAGCGCACCATCCACTTCAGAGCCCCGGACGGCAGATTGCTAGACTCGGAGGAAGAGATACAGCAGCTACGCAGCTACTTTTCAGAACTTTATCAATCCCATACCTGCGCCCAATCCGCTTGGAGATTGACAGAGCCTTTCGGGATAACAGTTGCAGAAGTGGCTTTATAGCTCTTAAGACCACCTCAGGCCGCAAAGCATTACCTCCGGGGAAAGTACCTGCAGTACTGTGGAAAGCTGCGGAGCCGCTATTGGCAGCTAGGCTATGTCGCGACTTTAATGCCGTTCTCTGCCCGGGCCCGATCCAACTACCTGCCAACTGGAATGTTTCCCACCTTACTCTAATTCCCAAATCCAATAAGCCACCCAGTCAGCCATCCAACCTGCGCCCAATCAGCTTACTCCCAATGCAATCCAAGCTCTTAGCACGCATAGCGGCTGAGCGCCTTAAGCCCCACCTGCTAACGGCCTTAGCAAACACCCCCCAATTTGCTTACATGGCAGGCAGGCAGGTAGCTGACGCATTGGACCGGGTCACGTCCCATTGCTACAGCGTTCGAGAAAGCCTGAAAGGGGGAGGCAGGTCAGTCTTTAAGCTAAAAGCGGGACAGAAGGATTCAGCCCTCTGTGGCGGAATGCAGCTATCGCTGGACCTA